AAAAATTGTGCTGCTGTATCAGTGCCAGTATATTCTCCTTGAACAACAAAGCTGGAATTTCTACTTAGCATTGTCCGTACAAGGTGGCACTAGGGGATTGGCATGGAAATAGGGAGCACCCAGGAGCAATGATCTTGTTTTGTGATCCATAAATGCTAGCAGGTCTCTTGCTAGATGGAGCAACCAGGTAGAGTTAGCAGAGTTGGGTGGCTGCTCTGTTTGCTTCTAATCAGCCTCAGTATGCCTGCTACTGTGCTAGGCAAAGATCTTGTCCTCTAATCAGATGACCATTTCAGGTTTATTTTTATTCTGGTCCTTAATTCTGGCTGTCTGTAAGAATTTTGAGCTGCTGCAGATAAAGATGGCTTTAGGTGTCTCACTAGAGCCCGTTTTCATTTTCTCAGGAGTGGTTTCATGGTATACTAATACAAATGGGTGCCACTTGCAGTGGAGTGTGTTCAACCTTAATTTGAAAGCTTTGTCAGTCTGGAATTTAAAAAAAAAAAAAACGGCAACTAGGAAATCCAAGCCCCCAAACATTAAATGGACTCAAAATGTTGAATGTTAAGGAAGTGAAACCTCCTGCCTTTCTTCTTTGGCTCTAAGTAATAGGCTTTTTGGAATGAAGTTAAAGTAAGTAACTCAGTACGGTAAGAACCTGCTCTTGACATTTCTCGCATCACAACCTTGGTTTGAAGTAGGAGGCTGATGAGCATTAGAATATGTGACCATCTTGCATGTGTAGGTTTTAGAGCTAAGAATTAATGATGCTTTATAACCTCAGTGGAGAAAAGCTTCAGTGTGCTGTGCTGAAAAGCCCTCATTTGATATTTGAAAATGGAACAGCCATAGAAAGATTTAGAAAAAAAAAATTACTACAGGCATCATCTCACAGGCTTTCATAAAAAGGTGAGATGAAAGACAGCAGATGGGTTTATCTTTTTACTTAGCAGCAAAATTACAAATCAGCTTCATATAAACAGATCTCTCAGCCAAATATAGCTTGACAGTAATTCTATAAGATTCATCAAGTCAAGGAAAGTGATTATGTTTGATGCCATGAAATAATGTGAAAGTAGGATATCTCATGATTTCAACATTTCAAACTTGAGTCCATTAAATACAACTTTTTGATGAAAATGCTACCCCGTGTGGCAAAATTTTTCATCTTCACATATTCTTCAAAATGATGAACAGTTCTTATACCTTTCAAATTCTCATTTCCAGTAATCTTAAGCATTAGTGAAACAATTTCCAGACTGCTGATAATACTGTGACTTTTGACTTTTGTAAAATGGTGAAAGTGAATTTTTAAGCTTTTAAAACAGTTTTCCTGGATATCAGTCTAACAGGTATGTATATTTTACACATCTTACTCAGGCTGTCAATATAATAGTATCTTGAGCTACAGAAACCCCACACAAAACACATAGTCAAAGGTATTTAATGAGATGAATCGGTCTTGCTTTCTTCTTTTTGTAATACCCAAAGGCGGATTTGCACTACTATAGAATAAATAGAGGCATTTCCTGTTACATCGAGGCTCTCAGATACAATTTATTCTACTGCGATAAACTCTAAGCTTCTAAAATGGAAAATTTCTAAACAAGTACTTCTGAAAAAAACATGTACTTAAAAGGTACTTATATCATCATCCACTGAATCATATAGGGTCCTGTCTTTCTTTGACTCTGTAGAAACCTGATGTCTAAAATATCTTTGTAGGTTTGACTTAACTTTTACAGGCTTTCACTCCATATAGAATCCAATATTAATGCTATGCCTATGTTCTGTTTTAAAGTTACTTACAGCCAATTTTAAAAAAAATAAAATGTTTAGATGCCCTAAAATAGTTTGGCTTCTCAAAACCACACATATACCTAAATCCTGTTTATTTTACTGGAAGTCAGGCAGCTAAATGCCATCTGGATATGGCTAGTTTTGTTTGTTTCACATTAAATAGCTAACAGCATGTATTAAACATAATAAGAGATGCGTGCAAGTGTTTTGTTGCTTGGGTTAGTTGTATCTTCTTTTGCACTATTTAAAGTGTAGGTTTTTTTGTTGTTGTTGTTTTTTTTTTTTTTTTTTTTAAAAAAAAAAACTTTACATAGTTCATTTATCGTTTGATTCAGCTGTCATGTGTCTTTGAAATGATTAATTGATAACTCAGAGCACAGCACCAGAAGAGGATGTCCTTGTTGATGAGTCTGGAAGATTAGGTCTGAACATGCAGGGCTGGGGAGTTGTGCTGCAAAATCTTGTTTACACAAACCGATGGCAGGCAGAAATGGCTTGTGCACTAGAAGAATAGTGGACAAGCCAAGGAAAGAGCTGGCACTATAGCTTACAGAAATCAAGCTAGTTGTTAGGGTGCACAAACTCAGCTATCTGATAAGTGCCCAGCTACAGAAGCTCTACCAGACCTGTGTAAAGGTGGGTTTTGCAGATATCATGTTGCCAAATCATGATTGTCCAGCTTCAGGCTAACAACTGTGATTTAACAAGAAAGAAAAGGATACCAAACCTGCCAAGTTCTCTGCAATTATACTGATCTCAGACAGAGTAATCTCTTCCCTAGTTATACTGAAGAATAAAAATCCAAAAGTTCTATAATGAGTGTGAAATTTGTGAGGAAACATATAGCATTTGTGATGTTGATAGTGTGTCATGGAAGAGAATGATCAGTGACAACCTTTCTTAGTGACCTCTTTCCCACTGTAAAAGAGGCTAGATATGTTTTTTTAAGGGCAGATTTAAAGCAAATTTCTCTGATCAGGTTTCCAAATTGAGCTCTTAGAGAGATGGTATTTTTCGAGGGGATATCTGAGGTTAGATATCTGACTGCGTTGTTAGGCCCCTAATTAGCGTTCTCTTCTATTCAGGCTCTGGGGTGACTGCAGGAGTTACTCTGCAGGGAGCTCTTTGTAAAGCTAGGTGTAAGTACCTCAATTTTCAGGCTTTATCTCTGCGAAAGATGTCCTGTGTAATGCAGAATGGATTAAATCTAGTGAGATCTGTTTAATAGGGTTCTAGGGACCTTTTTAAAAACCTTGGAAAATACTGGTGAAGAGTGTGAGCAAAATACGAGAAAGAATACATCTTTCTTTGAACCCTATCAATTTACTGTTTGTGGACTGAATTGTTTTAATGGCTTTATTTGGAGATATTCCTAAGGATAACAACAACCGGGATTGTAGAATGCCTCCTTATTCTAGCAGAACGTTCTGTACTAGTGTTTCCACTGTTGGGTGCAATTAAAATATTTGTTTGGTGTAGCAGTGCTCTGGGCATCATGTACTTATAGATCAAACAGGGGAGCTGCCTGCACACTTACAGGATGGTATTTCCCAGAAGAGCAATGGTTCAGCTGTCTTAGGTTCCCCTGTATGTGTTGACTGGGCTCTAGAAAACCCTTAAGGAAGTTACTCAGAATTGGTAATCCCCAGATATGTGTATTGGAAAGGATCATTCAGTTCACTGTGTTGTCTTCAAATTTGAAATGTGAAGTGTTGCTTGCTCTAAGAAGGCTGAAAAGACTAAGCCAACTGCCATAGATGTTTAATGCAATATTAGGGTTGCACAGGTAAAATCACATTACATTAACATTAAAATATTAATGTTAGGACTTTGATCAAAAGTTCTACATATTTCACTATGTTGATTATTGTTAAAAGCACACTTGGTACATTCCTATGTAGTCAATAGCCATAATTGTAGTGAATGCTCAACGCACCATATATATATGCTTCCAGTTTAAATCTTACAAAATTTTTACACTTACAAAGGGAAAAAAAACCAACACATTACTTTTTATGCTTACAGAAATTTACAAAAAAGTTTTATGATGGTGACAGCAGGAAAAGTGATATATACTTGGTCATTGTAACTCCTGAAAAGAAGGAAGGAACATAAATAAGAAGAGGGAGAAGATCTCAGAGGCGATCATATGCATTTTTAAGTCTAATGAATAATGCTACAAGCAGACTGAGGCACTGAGCCTGTATGCTTTGCATGGAATGAACAGGCTATTAATGAAAGAAATGCTGCTATACATATCCTGGCCCAGTAATGTGACATACCTTCTAACAGTCATTGTGGTGGTTTTACTTGGGTGGGTGGCCGAGCTCCACCTCAGTTGCTCTCTCACTCCCCCTTCTCTTTGAGGAGGGGGGAGAAAATATGACACAAAGAGCTCAAGGTTTGAGATAAGGATGATTCAATTAAAGGGAAAAGGGAGAGAGAAAAAAAGAAAGAGGAAAATAAAAAAAAAAGAGGAAAATAAAAAAGCAAAGGCTGTATGGAAGCACAGATAGAGGAAAAAAAAACCAAAAACATTTCCTCTCAACTTCCCATCAATGAGTGATGTTTTGGCCGTGTCCCGGGAAGCAGGGCCTCAAGATGCGTAGCGGTTGTTTGAGAGGACAGAAGCTTCCACCACAAGAGCCTTCCTCTCTCCTTCCCCTTTTCCACTTCATATTGATGAGTGTGACACCAGATAGCATGGTCAGTTTAGGTCAGCTGCCCTGGTGATGTCCCCTCCCCATCACTTGCCCACCCTCAGCCTGCTGGCTCTTGGGGGCTTGGAGGGAGTCCTGATGCTGTGCCAGTGTTGTGCAGCAATAAACAAAACACTGGTGTGATACCAGTGCTGTTCTAGCTACAAGTGCAGAGCACAGCACTGTGTGGGCTGCTGCAGGGAAAGTTAACTCCATCCCAGCCAGACCCAGCACAGTCATATGCTTGGCTGGTACAGAGGGGACAGAGCTTCGTGAGAACTTGCATTACATAGTTAACAATGCTTTTCTTCTTTTCTATTCTTTGGACATTTACTAAACTCAGACTTGAAATTTAAGCATCTGCCTTTGATAGATCATATTCTGTACACTAAGCCTAGAAAGAAAGGAACAGACTACAATCTAGTTTCAAGCAAATAACCTGTTTCACCCAGCGGTAAATAGCTCTGGTGGGACAGAAAGGGCCATCAGGTGAAACTAATGAATGCTTCTAACCAAAGAAGGGCTACCAAGTGCTGTTAGTGATCATATTTGAGAAAGAAAGGTGTTTTCCTACCTCTCCTGTGCCTGGAAGTTTTGCTGCATTCTCTGGGGAAAGGAGGCTGTTTACTCTTGCAGATGTATAGGGGTATTATGCACAACTAAGCTGTTCTAGCATTTTTCAGGGTGAAAAACAGTAAACTTCTTGAGGCCTGGACTGTCAGATCGTGGAGGTATGTTTCCTCTGGGTATGGAGTTGGTCAACTGCCTGTAATACAACAAATGTTTATGTTGGTTCCTCTTATTATTGTCTGTTTAGAGATGAAGTGATTTCCTAGTCTTGGTGAAGAAGCAGTACAGTGAACAATTTGCTCTTCTAGTCTGTCTTGTAGCGTTGATCATAGGACAGCTGAATACTGATAGTAGAGACATCCCTAGAGTGCTGTAAGGTGTTTTTGTTTTTTCAAAGACTATTTCTCTAGGAAAGTTCACCACTGGAAAGCGTTGTTGTCTCCTGGTTGAATTGTTTAGTATGGTGATTACTTTAAAATAACCAGAGCTTTTGGCATTTAAGTATGTAGAAGTCAATTCAGTCAGAGAAAGCATTGAATCTTTCTTTTCACTTGTTTGGAGACTTTCAGTCATTGCAATTGCAGCAGACAACTGTCTACAAATTTGCTAATAATAAATACTGTTACTTCAGTACAACAGTAATAGCTAATGTTCCTTCACAAACCAATCTGCCTAGCTCTTATCCTTTCTCTAAGGAAATTTTGGCGATGGCTATAAGGTTTCCCACAATAAAATCAGTACTGTAGAAATCAAGTTGCCTGCTGAAGAAGTGTCTAATGTCTTTGGTAGTGTATGTAAAGTAGACTTAGGTAAAGTTCACTTAAACTCCAAAAGCAATTTCTTAGGACTTCAGTTTTCTGGTATTTTGCTGTCTCTCAGGTGCGCAGTTTCTCTGACTTTTATGGGTTTTAGGAAAGCCTCCCATTACCTACGAAGACTTGACGTGAAATCTTAAGTTAGTCATGACTTTCATTGTGGCTGTTGTGTAGATAAGTCATGTAAATGGAGACTTGGGCAAGGATAGTATTTTATGACACAAAATATCTCATTGATTCATCCTAATGCTTTCCTTGTTTTGCAAATACTGAGGAATGAGCTGCTCCTGTGAACTCAGATGTTTTTAATTACTTCAAGATATCTGCTCTCTGTTAGTTTGTGATGATATGGAAGACAAGATTCAAAACATAATGCTATCAGCTAACTATGTCTTGAGTGAAGAGGAGGTCTTTCAGCTAAGATGGGACATAATTGAAAAATGAACCTAAATTTAACAAGTCTACTCAGTGAATCAATTTTCTTGCTTTGTATTGTAGCTATAGCACAGCTTAAACCACTAATGCTGTACTTAAAAATAGTTTCAATAGTAATTACAAACATGGGGAAAAGACTTACCACTTTCAGAAGGCTTGAGACTTAAGTGAAAAACAAATGATCTGTAGTAGGGATTATAAAAGAATAATTTATGGTATAATATGCTGAAATGAATACATATGGCAGGCTGAAAATGTGTTCGTGGAACTTTATCCTCAGGGAAATCTTTCATGCTCTTCTGAATACAGATGGTTCTCACTTGGATCAATGTATTTTGTTGAGATCTTAACATTACTTTTGGTTTGTTCTGTGTTATTTTATTTTTCAAAAAGATACAACATAATAGTAGACCTGCATCTCTGCCAAGAGGGTAAGAATCCTTATGACTCTCATTTCTAGATATGTCATAATAATTTTCTGGAGATCAAAGACGGTAATCGTTAGTAAAGAGTCTTTAAGATTGTGAATTCCAGGTCATTCATCCAGTCATTGAGTAAGTGTTGGTAGTAGACAGTGAGTTGTTGGCACTTAATATATTGTACTGGACTTCTATTGCATAGATGTCTGCTGGATTGTAAATGACACACTTGATTCAATACTACCTCATAGTATTTTGTGACTGAAAAGATAAACAGCTTTGTCAATAGTAAATTGTACAGTACATATGGATCTCTTAATAACTTACACCTGTGAAACAGCTAATAATTTACACTAATGGCGTGTTTTCTCTCAGCAATACAGAGACTAGATCTTGAATATCTGTTTTGAAGAGTGGTAATTTTTCTGTACCACAAAGTGCATTACCTACCTTTTAATTTTTTCTTTATTCTCATGCTTTTCTCCACTTGTCAAAGAATGGACTCCCATTCATACAGCTCTTGCAGAGACCTGTCAAGAAGTATGCTTGCCATTGGTTTATTATGTTGCGTTAAAGTAGCTGGCTACAGCATGCACAGTAGCTGCCTAAAATTACGTTTTTTGGTGGTCTGTGATTGCTCTTGAGCACTTGACTCCTTAAATAGCATTAAGACCCTCAGTGCTCTACAGTAATCCTACAGAAAAGTTGGAAATTGACCAACATTTCAATACTGAGAATGTGTTTTTTACACGTGCCTGTGTTGTCATCTTTTATCAGCTCTTTCATTTAGGGATGTTTAATATTGCTTAATAGCACTTTGAAACTCATATCAGTGAAATCAGAATCCAGAGATGGATTGGCTAACATGTCTTGCTGTAAAAGATACTGTCAAAAATAGAGTATGAACTTTAATGTTTTTGGTGATAGGGTCACAAACGAATTCGTGTGAATGAGAAAATGTTCTGGTCTAGCAATATAGCATTCTGTCAAGATTTTTGCTGTCAAACTTTACTTGGAATATATATGTACATATTTTTAAAATTGCAATTCCACTTCTATTTATATTTCCTGAACTCAAAACATTTATTAAAATGCAGTGGAAGGAAGCTGAAAACAGATAGGTCGCTTACAGCTCCTTATGGTTCCACTGACTGTTCATTTGTATCTGCTCATAAAACTTCACAGCATTTCCTTGAGAGAAATTGTCTACTATATTGTTCTACAGCATTTTTATAAAGTTACCTTCTTTACACGACTATTTTTTCACTTCTAGAGCTGTATGTTGAATTCTTAATTGAGTTCTGGATGTGATAAGATGATGTATGCTGAGCAGGGTGGAATGAGAAATATCTCTCAATTCCTGAGTGAATGCCATGTATTCAAGTTATCTTATTGATACTGCCTAGATGACTGTGTGGTGTTAAATCAAAAAGAAAGAAAATTTTTGAACTAAATACGTGAAGAATATTCACAGCTAGTTACTAGTATTGGGAAAAAACAGGTAGTCTACTACAAGTGTGTTTAGCAGGTCTGTTTCTCTAATGTTATTCTTTGGTTTCTGTTGACTTACTATAACATATCCAGAAGATGATCTAGTGTAATGTATTAAGATTGTTTTGGAAAAGAGGAGCCTATTGAGTTAGCATAAATGACACAGTACAGTGTAGAGAGTTTTACATAGGATAGTAGCTTGAAAGTATCTAGTTTTGCTGCTAGTTTAGCATCTCCATTGAAGAGGTAGCTTAAAAAAAAAAAATCAATTGACTTAGGTCTCTGGGGAAATCAATATGTTGAAAGCAGATGATGGTGAAATCTGTAGACTGACAGATATTTTTACTCAGCAGAGGGCTGTAGGGTGAGGAGGTGCAAGAACTTAAAATACCAGCATGTGTGTCTCCCCACATGATGTTATGAAGGAAAGTAGGATAATTTTAAAGTGTCCTGCAGTGTTAACTGTATGATATATCACAACAGATTGAGATGTCACACAGTGGCTCTGCTGAATGTAAATTGTCAACATTGCATGTAATTCTTTGCCTTTTCTTGGAGCAGGTAGTGCAAAAATGAGATGTCTAAGTGTCTAAATCACATAAATGACTGCTTTGTCTGTCACTGTTATAGATAAAAGCCAATAACAACAAATAAAATGAATTACCTGAAATGGAATCTTAAATCAAATAACTTAGCACTTTTGTATGTCTACTGATGACATTTATTAAGAAAGCTCTAATAACAACATGCAGCAACTTACTGAAGCATACTTTCACAGCAGTACAGCAGGGAATGTCTTGCCTTAGTCCCATTACTGCTCCCAGAATTTCAGGCATTATTCAGTACCCATTATTTTGGCACTTTTACCCCCATTGAGCTTCAAGCATTTGAGGAACAGAAGGATGTCTGGCAACTATAGCCTGAGAAATGAGAGCTAACAAAATAAAGTTAGCTGCAAGACAATTTTCCCTAAATAAAGTGGCTATTCTGTGTTGCTGTTCAAACACAGGATTCTCTGTTCCTTGAAAAAGATTTTTTTGAGTAGATTTTGTTATTGGGTGTGTGCAACCTAGAGAAATTAAATTTTAACCTTGTTTCTGAGTTGGTTAACAGGTGAAAAATTGAAGTGAAAATATTTGAATTTTTTATGTTCAACCTATCTATCTGACTTGTCATTTATATGCTAGAAACAAAAATTAACTTTAAAACATTATGAATGTGCTTATCAACATCTAGAATTGCAAAACAGCTCAGCAGATGTTAGCTGTAAGTATTCGTGCAATCCTGTTGATCTCTACTAAGATATTGATATACTTAGTATCCTTTAGTATCCTTTACTGAAACAGGTCAAAAGTATCTGCTCTTTTTCATCCCCTTTTATATATTTTTGGATATAAGTTTGGATAACAATTTTGATTTCTGCTCGTCTCCTTATTCCCATACTGTTACCTTCAATAGTGCCTTAAGACTTAACAGCTTGCAGAGAGAAGTACTTGGAAATTTTGGACTGTCTTCCATCACGGTACAAATTTATGAAACTGTTAAAAAATACATCCTGTTAAATCCAAATTATAGATGTTTATAGTTGAAAGGAAAGACCTGTTCTAGGAAAGCTATATCATTTTGTCTTTTGTGTCTGCACGTGGCAACACGTCTCTATTAAGGAAAAGTTTTGTTTTTAGGCTGTGTGTATGCATAAGAAGTTCAAATTAGCTTACTTATCTGGCAATGGCTGTGTTTGAGTAGCTGTACCTTGAATTCACTGGGATAGTGTCTGGTAGTTTGTTGTGAGCATGTTTTGTAGAATAATGTAATTTAACTGAAACTGTGATTAAAGACAATTTTGATTTTTTTCCAAGTTGGTTACTTGGCAAAGCATCAGCATGAAATCAACAGCTATAGCACATAAAACAGTCTGTTTTAAGTCAGTGGTGTAAGGTGGGTCTTATTTGGCATTGGCTTAGCTCTAACTGATTCAATGGAAGTGCGCCCAGATCTAAG